ATTTTAGCATGTTTCAATGAATTTCAGTGAAATAGCATATTTCGACCGGTACATGAACATGAAATATATTTTATAATTTTAATTTATTTGTTATTATTTAATTATTTTTAACCTAATAAAAATAAAATTAATTAACAAAACAACCTTTGAAAGTTGAGTTTTTTTTTTTATATTTTATATTTTCAAACCAAAATTTTTAAGTATTTCAATTATTTTTCAAAAAAATAATTATACTCATTTTATAAAGTTTAACAATCATAAAATCTTAGTTAATTATTTTAATCTCTTTGTTTTTATCTTAATATTTATATGAAAAATACTTATTTAAATATTTATGAACAGATTAAGCGTTTAAAAATATTATAAAAATTTTATGATATTATTTTTTATATTTTAAACTTATTTTATTTGATTTTTGAATATATTTCATATTTATTTTGTAGATTATTAATAATATTATAATATATAAGTTCATATATATATATATATATTTATAAATATATTTATACTAAACTAAATAACCCGAAACAATATGTCAAAACAATCGATATCGGTATATACCATATTTAAAAAAAAAATTGAAGCATTATTCGATATGATATTAACAATCTTGATTTATTGTTTTAGTCTTTTTTTTATATATTAGTGGTTGAATTTTTAAATTTCATAAGTGAAATTAAAAGATTAATAAATATTTTTTTAATATATTAAAATTTTAATATATCTTATAGGAACACATGTCACATGCTAATGTGATTTATTTAAATTCACTAATAGCGGGTGGGATTTTTTTGTTCTATTAATATAAGATAAGAATAGATAATGTGAGAAGAAAATTAAAATTAAAAATAGGAAAAAGATCAAAAACACAATTTATTCTTACCATTCTCGATATATTAATTTCCTTTTTTAGATATTTAATAAGGCTTGTTTAGTTGGTGTAAGAATGTCTAGAATGAAAATTAAATTTTAAAGATAAATACAAGAATAAGAATGATTTTAAATTTTTTATTAGATATGAGGATAGTATCTTATATATTTATATATTTAGTAAATATTTTTTTGTGTATATTAATTTTTATTTTAGATTAATTAGAATTAATATATTTTTATTTAAAAAAATATATTAGTATATATTTATTAAAATATTATGTAAATGTAAAAAATAAAAAAGCAAAAAAATAAAATTTTTATTTTTTAAAAAAAGTTTCGAGTATAGATATTACCCATATCTATTAAATATCCATAAAAATAAATATAAAAATAAATTTAAAATATTCATTAAATATAAATATAGATATGAATATAATATAAAGATTTAAAAATAAGAATAAAAAATACTCTATCCGTTCCATTCCTTACTTATTTACGTCCTTAAGTTAGTGTTTTTATTTTTTTATTATTTGTTTCTTGTTTTTAATATATTTTTATTTTTATTAAAAATAAAAAAAAATCAATTGAATTGAACTTAAATTTGTTATAAACTTTTATTTTATTAAGCCATTCAACTCAACTCAAGTACTAAAATTGAAGTGCAATTTATCTATAGATTTTAAGTTCATGTCGTTACTGTTTCCTGCATGAAAACATACAAAAATCATTGAATTACAATCCAAAAATGTTAGCCATCTCTTCGAAATTCTTTACGCCTTTTACCATTTTTATTCGAAATCTAGCTAGACGAGAATGTTCACAATTTCATTTCATATAAAATTCGATGTGATTGCGATATGAAATTATTAAAAATTCTAAAGCCAACTAATCCTATAAAAAAATTAAAATTATATTAAAATCACTAATGACATGAGAATCATTACTTTGAATTTGAAATATCTTTTTCAATAAATAAAACGTAATTGATATTTAATACATTGTTAATATATAAAATTTATATATTATTAGTGAATTAAATTGTAATATTTTATTAATAAATAAATATAAAATTTTAAATAAATACATATAAATTAAAATTTTTTATTAATAAAATATTATTATCTAATTTATTTAATTAATAAATTTATATATAAAATTTATATATTAATAATATATCAAATATAAATTTTATTGAGTTGTTTTGAGTTACTTTTGAAATCATTTTGATAGCAACTCATTCAAAATGTACATTTTTTTAGTTCTACTATTCATTTTTATTTTCTCCCAATGGAATAAAAAAGAAGAAGAAAACAAAAGAGAAAATGAGTAACCTAAAAAAGGAAAACAAAAGGCCAAGAGACCCCACAGTCTGGCAAGCCTAGAATCTAAACATTCTAGAATAATATAATTGCTACTATGTATCCTATGAAAGTCTTTCAATAGAGTAGTCCCATTTCTATTGGAAGAAACTTCCTCAAGCCATTATTCACCATCTGACAAGTTGTGCAAAATTGAGGTATCTAATACTAGTAGTATATTTACTTTGCTTGGAGACTATATTATAATTGAGTTGAAATTTAATTTTATTATATTATATATTGTTCTTATAAATAATTCAAAAAAATTATGTATTTATTAAGCATTTAAAATAAAATTAATTGATTATAAATAAAAAGATTAAAGTCAAATATAAAATTTAATAAATGTAATATAATATCATTTTAATGATGTGAATGAGCTTAATTTTTTTTTTTTAACATGTATATGAAAATTTGTTAAGTTTTGAATGATTTGAACCTTAATAAATTGTAGTATTAACTTTCCAATGGTAAGAAGGGTTAGCTTAGTTGAATGTTAATGTAATATGCTTAGATATTAGATTGCCAAACAAATCTTTTAATATATAAATAATTGTTAGGTCATCTAACGAAAGATACCAAATGCTATTCCATAATAGACTTTTAACAAGTAGCAAATCACTATAAATTTTTGAATTTGTTTGGCATTATTGCAATTCAACGGCCACATTATAAAATTAAACAATCATGTTCTAACCTTCTTCCTCCCATTAAAAAAAAAAAAATCACATATAAACCCATTACTTCTAATTTTATATGATAATTATCTTAAAAAATGTTTAAAATCCACTAATTTGGCCGACAGAAACACAGAGTACCATAGTTGTCGTGTTTCCCTTAAAAAAAAAAAGCGTAAGAGCTTATCTATCTGACTCATCAACTTCCTCAATTGACGACAATTCTGATCATTGAGCGAGCGCTTCCAATGAAGCTTCCGTTCTCTTTCACTTATCTATACGAGCATCTGCTTGGCATGGTCCCACTTACTCATTAAGCTCGAGACAACTCTTCTTATCCACATCCATAACAACGGTCGGTCTCAGTCAATCACTTCGTTTCTCCACTCGTTTTTCTTCTTTGCTTTGGTATCCGGATAATGTCCCCCCTTTATCTAAATCCGATATTTGTATTATTGTTTTTTATATCTCGATAATGGACCAATTATGATATTAACAGGATCGGTAACTTCTAGAATTTTAGTTCCAAATGTCTAATTTGATATTTTAATTAAAAAAATTAGAATTAATTCAAATCCAAAAATAAAAAGAAGTAAGATTTAAGTATAAGATAATATAGAATTATTTCCTTTAATGCAGATATCCTGGGCATGTAATAATATATAAAAATATAAATATAGATGTGAAAAATCTTTTTAACTAGTGAAAATAGACAATTTTTTTTTATTTTATCTTTAAAATGCCATCTGTTATTTTAAATTATTTTGAGTTTACTATTTATAAAAATTAATATTATAATCAATTAACAATTCTATTTGGTGTTAGTTTTAATTAGTTCAGTTCTAATATAATTCATATTAATATTAATAAGAGTTTGAAACAAATTGTAGTTTTATTTAATTTTTAGCAATGATTAATTGTGATTACCATAAAAAAATATTACAATCGATTATGCTTAAGACTTTTGTGTTTTTAATTCATTTTTAGTGTTTGTTGAAATTTTTTTAATATTTCAATAGAATAATTTAATTGCAATTTGCACCGAGTTTTTAAATCATTGATTGATGTAGACTGTAGAGTACACAAATACGTAACTGAGGAGCCGGGATTATACGTATGCATACTAATATATGAAGCAGTTGCTTCTATTGATTATATAATCTCCATGTTATTTATTTATTATTTAAATGTTTATAACGCACTAACTATTCCATTAGTAGTATTATTACACTTTATTCCTTGTTTTCGTTACGTGAAAGAATGAATTTGTATCTTTATATATTCTTGCCAATTAATTTTTTTGGATAAAATATATTCTTAAAAAATTGATTATTTAACTATTATACATAAAAGAATATGGTGCCCTTGAATCTGGCTTTTCCATCTCTATAATTTTCTCTAAAAAAAGAAATATTTAATTACAAAAAAATATCTTATTAAAAGAGATAAAAATAATAGAAAAAATGTATGAAACTATTACTCTAAATTAATATATGCTCATTTCATTCAAATTATATCATGTAGTAATATTATTAAAAATAAATTATTTATTACATGTTACATATGACAATTAAATAATAAATATTTATTTTAATAAATTCATAAAAATAATATGTAATAAATAATTAATTTTTTAAATAATATTATCACATGATATAATTTAAACAAAATTGCCATATACTAACTTAAAACAATTGATTCATGTAATAATTTTCAATAATAATCTCAATAAACAAAATTCAATCGTTGATAATCAATCAGGCCGTTCAGATCAACAAACGTTCTTTCTTGTAATAAAATCAGTTTAAATTATTTTATAAACAAATCAAATTAACTTTTTTTTTTTTGGGATACAAGAAGATTTTTTTTTCTTGTTTTTTTTGCAAAATATCCCCACTAAAACAAAGGTAAAAATTGGTCAAAGAAAACGAAAAAAGTGGATTGCAAGCAGCAACCAGTCTAGATACATTAAAAAAAAAAAAAACCTGAAAAACAAAGAATGCAAAAACCTCAAAAGGACACAGAAACCGACAAGAAAAAATCAGCCTAGCTTACGTGGTACAACAGGATTTGCTTCACAGCACATCCTATCGAAATTCCTTTTTTCTAATTATAAATAGCCTTCTTTTAACATGCCATTTCAAGACTGGAAAGTGGAAATTGAAAACAAGAAAAAGAAACACAAAATGCTTTCATTTGAGTTATTATCGGAGCTGATTCCGGGTTTACCTGAGGAAATCGGATTCGAGTGCTTGGCTCGGTTTCATTATTCAACTCACAGTATCGCAGCTCGAGTTTGCCGAAGATGGCAAGACCTTCTCCAAAGCAGAGAGTTTTACCATCTCAGAAAGCAAACCGGATACACCCAGAAAGCGGCTTGCTTGGTTCAATTACTTAACAGTGACTCCGATCCTGATGGGTCCAAATCGGTTGGTCCACCCAGGTACGGGATCACCGTGTTTGATCCCGTTAGCAGAACCTGGGATCGAATTGAACCCGTTCCTAAGTACCCTGATGGGCTTCCTTTGTTCTGTCAGATAACAAGCTCTGAAGGAAAGATTGTGGTGATGGGCGGATGGGACCCGACAAGTTATGACCCAGTGAGGGACGTGTTCATATATGACTTCACAAGTCAGAAGTGGAGACAAGGGAAGCAGATGCCGGAAACTCGATCGTTCTTTGCGACTGGTGAGTTGGATGGTCGCATTATCGTGGCGGGTGGTCACGATGAGAACAAAAACGCTTTAAGCACAGCATGGGAATATGATGTAAATCGGGATGAGTGGACTGAGTTGACCCGGATGAGTCAGGAGCGAGATGAGTGTCAAGGGATGGTGATTGGGTCGGAATTCTGGGCGGTGAGTGGATATAGAACAGATATTCAAGGAGGCTTTGAGGGGAGCGCTGAGTTTCTGGATTTGGGGACAGGTCAATGGAGCCGAGTTGAAGAGGCTTGGGAGCCGAGTCAGTGTCCTAGGTCTTGTGTGGGAGTTGAGAAAGAGAAAACACTCTTCTGCTGGGCTGACTGTGACTCGGCGATACGAGTCGGTGCATGTGCGGTCCCCTTGGGAGAATGGACGTTTGTGTCTGGATCAGCTTACCAGGGTGGTCCACAGGGGTTCTTCTTGGTGGATGAACAGAGTGGAAAATTCAACAGTATAGCTGTTCCAGTCGAGTTTTCTGGGTTTGTACAATCTGGTTGTTGCGTGGATATCTAAATCAATATCTAGATCTAAAGTTATACCATCCCTGTTTCCCTTTTCTAGTTAAATTGGGAATTTGGGACAGAACCAGACATTCCATTAAGAATGCAGAGCTGCCCTGTTCGGTCCCCTCGAAGCATGAAGACTCCCTCATCCAAGTTGGGTGTAACTTGTAAGACAGGTGAGCCAAAGCTCACAGTCGCATGATGGTCTAGAAATGCTAAGATTAGGCAGGATAACATTTGTTATCATTAATGCAGTGAGCGATGTTGAGAGTTTATCTATAAAATCTAGCATTATAAAAAATGATGTGTATGTATATATGTATAATAGACTTTGCAATATAATGTACATTATGGTATTACACATACCTTGTCTGCAGATGCTTTCTCCTTTCACTCTGGTTTCTGGTTTTATGAACCGCAAGATCAATGGACCTAGAGCAGTCGAATAACTGCATTTTTGAGTATCCAATGGCTAACTCCATATCAAACTGAAACAGCAGTTACAGCACAGCATGAGGCTATGACATCAACTCTTTAACCCATTAACCCCATCAACGTGTCAGCACAGCCATTGACTTTGGTATATCAACGAGAGAAAGAAAGCCTATCCATAGACGTTATGTAAAAGGGCCTACCCTATTTCTAACTTCCTAACGCCTTGTTTTTTTGACCCTTTTGTGACAATCTTTTACAAGTGCTTGGATGTGGCAACAATATCTATAACAAAGAACAATCAAAACTATCCGCTGCATATCACATATAGATCAAATCCAGGTAGGAATTCCAACAGAAACATGCATCTAATTACCCGTGCAAGAAACAAAACTGATGATTGAAAAATGTTCAGAAAGATCATTCAAGGAAGGTAATCATTGTCAACATAGAAGAATCAAAACAGCACGTCTCTGTTTAACATTATTACTAGCCATAATAAGCACTAGAAACTAAAAATAGTAATCAGCTTTGTAGTCAGTCATACACTGCTAAAGCAAAGCTAAACTATTATCCAGACAACTAGCATAGAGATATATCTCCTGACACATACTAACCCAGAAACCTTCAAATCAGTCACCTAGGATAGTCCAGACTTCGGCTCCTGCTCCTACTAAAGCTCTGGTTTGGACTCCTTGAGCCATAGGGTGACCTCGAGTAAGATCGCCCTCTATATCTCCTATCTCTAGGTGAAATAGACCTATACAAAAACAGAAGGCAACATTAACAAGACCATTCACAAAACACAAATGATTAAAACAACAATATTGCACAGTTTACCTCGAGTAGCGTCTTTGCCTACGCAAAGGAGAGTAATAGTCTGGACTGTGGGCATAACTTTGAGAATATCGTGGTGATCGAGAATATTGTAGCGGGGACTGCCTATATGCCTGACCACTGTCATTAATATCAAGAACATAATGCAATACATGTAATCAGCATTACCGTTGTTCAATTAACACCTTTCATTTCTCTAACCAGAAATCCTTAACAAATAAAAGTCTCCTATCTTCCTAAATTCCTTAATGCATAACAAAATTAGAACATCAACTAAGAACAGTAGCAAATTTGAGAAAGTAGTGGGGTAAAATATGAGCATTGCAAAAAGAACCCATGCTCACCTTCCACGTTCTCTTGCTCTCATTTCTGAAGGCTTCTTCCTGTTTTCCTCAGCAAATACAACAGTCAGTTCTCGGCCAAGAAGAACATAACCATCCATGTGATATTTTGCATCAGCAGCATCAGCAGGGTCTAGATACTGGACAAATCCAAAACCACGGGGCTCCCTGAATTACAAACAAGGTAGCTATCATAAATATAAAAGATAGAAGATTATACATCATAAGCCACACATGCTCAGTGATTTTCAAAATCACAAACATGATCTAGATTCCAGAGTAACAGGAAGATCTTGATAGCAAGCCGATACTTCATATAATACAAGTAAATATGATTATGTGGCTGCTAACCTTGTGGGAGTCAAATTTTAATTGAGTTGATATTCTTCAAGACTTGCACTTCTTCACAATGAATTCAAAACCAACTTCCTTCCAACCTTGATGTAAATAAAGGTAATCTTGAACAATACTCATTACTTGAACTTCAACAGAGTACTCTTATACTTCATTGGTGTCTTCAACACTTTCAATAAAAACAACCAAATTCCCATAAACCAATGCACATGATAAAGAAATAACCCCCATCACCCAAACACGCATGTGAAACGGGACGAAGACAGACAAGTTGACATTATCAGACACACACTGAGTTACCATTTTTCAGGAACCTACAAGGATTATACTTACCCAGTATAATAATCTCGAGGCAGGTAGATGTCCTTGAGGCGACCAAATTGCCCAAAAGGCCCACGCAGATCTTCTGGTCTGCAAATGAAGCACAATTACAAATTTATTGGCTCTAAGAAAAGACTATGATGCGACTAAAATTTGACTTGTATTATGTCAATCATTTTTTTTTTTTTAACAAAAGACGAGAACCCAGCTGTTTGTTATGTTTGGAAGGGTAAGCAAAAAAAAACAAATCATACAAAAATGTAAAGTGTTTAGGTGTCTTGGTCTCCTCAAAAACCTTTGCATATAGTTTTACCATTAAGTACATGTGAAGCATAATCACTAGCAGGAATATTAAAAGGGAATACAGAAAGAAAATATTTGGTTTGAAATAACTGACACGAATTGAAAGGAGAAGACACTACAAACCTGCAGTCATGGCGAAGGTTGCGAACTAGAAGACTGGTGGGAGGATCTCCACCACGACCTCCGTAGCGGCCTCTAGGGCTGGGGCTACGACGCCTCCTGACATAATCCCTTGGTGGTGAGGGACTGTAACTGTAGCTTCTTCCCCTCATTTGCAACAAACCTACGCACAAAAATACACTATTAAATCTAAAATCTTAATGAAACAAAGAAGAGATTTACACAGAAATCCAAAGGAAAAATAAACGAAGAAGGGAGCGAGATGAAACTGAAAACGTACAGTTTAGTAATTGCTTTAAGAAGACAAAGAAAATCACAAGCTTCTCTGCTCTTCCTGTTGTTCAAAGGTTTTGGCCTCTGGTTGTTGAACATGCGTTCTTAAGATGTTCACCTACCTTCTAAATTGAAACTCCAGAAGCTTCTTCTTATCTGCCGCGTTCAAACCTTTCTCCGCATCCTAGCCGTCCACGTGTACTCCAACAAGAAACTCAACGGTGGAGCGTCACTTGAGTTGGTATGGTTGGATCCAACAACATGCACCTTGATCCAACTAGAACAGGGCCTGAAGCCTGAGGGTTCTCGTTTAAATGACCCGAAATTACGAGTCCTTTTGAACAAATTGGATCCATGGGCCTCCATCCAAGTAGGTCAATATATAAAAACCTGACCCGACATTGCCATCCGCTGTGCCCTATACTCTTCCGTTCTCTGCTGCCTCTTGAACCTCTACTAGTCTCTAAACCCTTTGTCTCCCCCATACTTTGAACTCCCAAAAATTCTCCACATTTTCAAATATTTCGTAGCCTTTCTTTTCTTAATCGGAGACCGTTCTTTTTAATTAGGGTTTCGAATTTCCCATCTTTTGTCAAGGAAAAATGGCAGCGTCTTTACAGAAATTTCAGAAGAAAAATCCAATTAAGGGAAACCAAAGTTCAATTTGCATAGAAAGTGGTGTTGATCTTATCGAATTTAATTTTATTGAAGGTATCTAGCCAGAGGAAAAATCACTTTCATACGCCAATCTCAAGGCAAGGTCAGAAATGAAAATGAGGGAAATTTATCTACAGCTAAAAAGGCAAATATTAATATTTTGTAATTAATAGGAATAAATAGGAAAAAAATTGCCCAGAGTTCGGGGATTCAATATTAAATGATGCCTTCGTGTGAAAAAAAAAAAGTGAAAGAAAATAATTTGAAAGTTCTATATATTTCAATATATGTGTATATAACTTTAATGTAACGACAAACTATCTCGTCAAACCGTAATTAACAAGATGAAGTTAATAAGATAATTAAAATAGGATCAAAGTCACATTTGTCTAAGGTAAATCTTGACATTCAGAAATAACATACAAGTAAGTCGTTGTCTCTTTTATGTATGATAGTACTTAAATAATTGCCAAAACATGTCACAATTTTGAGGCATAGGCATTCACACCAACAATGTACACAAGGTATGAAAATGATTCAAAATATAATTTTAATGCTAATTTCTTCGACTGACAAGAAATATGGAAACAAACAATAAGCTCTTACCTCATGCCTCGAAATCCAACCGCACAGAGCAGCTCAAGTTTCTGCTAACCCGAAGAGTGTATCACAGTGTTTAATTATTACACAAAAAGAAAAACTTGAGCTTGAGAAGATTTCTAGAATATTGGTGTTGATCAGAGAGCAGGAAACCGATTCTTTCTTGGCCTGTCGCCCCGTCATGAAAGAAAGATATTTCTGCCTCCGCAATCCGATACCGACAAGCAACCAGATATAACCATAGAGACCCAAGTCTACTACAGACTTAGCTTCTGTCTTAATGAGGAGATTACTAATGAAAGAAATATTGCACTTGACAGTGCTTTCAAACAAATGAACAAAAACATGAAATGTTTTGTTGCTTCAGCAATGCAATAATATTACAAGGAAAAATGGCCTAAATAGGGGCAGAAGAAAAGCCCATTCAACTGTTTTCCAGGCCTTTCAATTTCATCTAAAATATCTACTATACAAAGTATTCCTTACCATCAAAGGATAGCAGCAACTTCAAATATTTATTCCCTGTGCAGTTGTTGGCTTGCCTAACCTGAAGACTTTGTAATGAATGTGAATTTACGGAGCCTGTTATCTTGTATCAGCCTCAAAATTAACGCTTTGGATGGTCCTGGGGCTGCACTTCATATTAATTGAGTTGAGAATACAACCACGAGCCATTTGGCTCTTCTCCTTATGCATCAAGGTTGTCTCCTTGACTTGTGATGATATGTCAGACAGGAAAAGACAAAGCTGTGATTAATTCAAGGCATAATGGACCCGCTCAAGGAGTTGCACGACCTTGTTGATGGGGATGGGTGAAGATGGTGGTTTTAAACTCAACTTATGTGTATCTGAAGATGCGATGGGAAATGATAATACATCCTCTTGTTGCATGCTTGTAAGCTCCAGGAATTGAGCGAGCATGTCACCATCAAGTATCTTCGGGACTCCAACCTTTTTCCAGACAAGCAAACACAGAAGGACAGTAAGAAAAGTGGCATGCTTTTCTGAATACCTAAATTAACATAAAAGAGGAGAATGAAGCAGCATGGAAAGACTATATTTTAAAGCCCCAACCACACTAACTGCCCCATTTTGCAATCACCAAATGACAGAAGAAGCATTAACATCTGAAAATAAGAGGATGATTGGGGAAAAAAGGAAAGAAAGAAACAGAGCACACCAAACAGCTAATATAGAGACTCAATTACTCCTAGATTTCAATAATTATTTTGCTGAATAAAACTAGAACCATTACAATTTTCATCACCTTCCACAAGGTTAATAATTAAAGTAACTAGTGCCTACTGCTCAGATTAAGTCTCTTTGAGAACTTTTTCTTACTGGGTTTTCACGGCTACGGTACTCATTATGATCATTGCCCAGTACAGGAGCAGTCAATGGATGGACAACGAGTCTAGCTTGGACAGCTTCCAGCAGTTCATGTTCCTCCCTACAATAGCATGCAATTTATCAAACTAATACCCCAAATCCAGACATAAATAAACATATCAGACCATATGAAAGCCTATGCATACTAATGACCAACCACATTTATTGACATCAACCTTGGCTCATAATTGAAATAGGTACACCCAGTCTAGTTCTATGCATAATTAAATGATCCAACACTTCAATGTCATAGAGTATTACTTTCCCTAGTATTAAAAACAAAGAAATTCTATTTCGTAAAATCATTTCACTTCTCTCCGATCACAACAAAGAGAGATACGAAATTTCACTAGAAATCAATTCTCTCATCTTTGATATTGCTTTTCATTTATCCTCTACATATCAATCCAAACACATTTTTATTTACCAGACAACCACCATAACGAAATACAGACTAGAGTGCCCTTCCATCAAATTTCATAAATCGATAAAATCCAAGAGTTTTAAACATGATAGTCATCAAGAATAATCCATACTAATAACAACTCAGCAGCCATCAATTTATATGGAATAGTTTAGTTAAATACACAATAGACAAAAGAAAATCTTTGAACAACCACCTAAAGGAAAGGCAATAGCAACAGCAAAATTCTATAATGTAATAAGTCTTGTTTACTTCATTAGTGTACAATGATTTCTATCAAAGCTTTAGCTACTTCCTCAGTCTCAAAAACATTGGTATGTTTTTGACCTTTCAAGGTGAAACATTTCATCTTTTACCTTTTAATTTTAACTTATTGATTAAAATAAAAAACAATCCCTAATACGCTAGATCAAAAGTTTTTCATATTTTTATTTTATAAAACATTAATTCAATAAAACATTTAAAATAGAGAGAGCCAAAAATGAAAATGTTCAACCGTAAAAGTTTAAAACTAAACCAATGCAGCATGAGTATATAATTAAATCCCAAGATAAAATTCCACACACGTAGATCTAAATCTTTTATCTCACTTTGATTCCCTAAGACAATCATTACTTGAAAAGGAAAAAGGAACAATCCTAAACCGACCCTCCAGTTCCATTATATAGAGTTACAGAGAACAATAGCATTCTTCAAGAGAAAGAGTAAAAGAGGTGAGAAGAAAAAAGGCCTATTTTGCCCCAAATATTAATCCATACCTTGATATTGGAATGAAGATCATTATGCTTCCTAGGAGCGTGCTGGCCATTATAGAATTGTGTGTAGGGTCAACACTTGCATTAAGTTCACAGATGTTCAACATATCATCAGCTGGAAGTTTGTAAATAAATGAACCCTACAGGAAAGTATATAGAATATCATCAAGGAGCTAGCTAAAAGGGAAAAATCATGTCCCAAAAAGAACAATTTAAGTATATAGAATATCATCGAGGAGCTAGCTAAAAGGGCAAAAATCATGCCCGAAAAAGAACAATGTAAAGTATTTGCCTAAAGAAGATACAAAAGACAACATAACCACGGTATAATGCTCAGCATTTAAGCTCAGAAAAGGAGTCTCTAGAAAGCAGGGAAAACAAGAATTCTGCATGTCAGTCTGACCTATCAAAATGGTATTATCACAAAGGAACAACTTAATTTCAGTTTGATCAATCTATTTGAGAAGATATGTAGCAGACTAGAAATTCTTATTTATGTGTATTATTTTCATTTACCAGATAAAATCTGGTAGATCAAAAAAGCTACTGGAGATTTTTTTTTCTCTTCTTATGAATACTCTAGAAATTCCAAAAAAAAAAAATGTTACATTGAACTGAAAATAGCAACTAATTATAAAGACGATGTCTACCATTTATTTCAAAGTAACAACATGTAACAGGTGAAATTCTATGCCAAAGAAAAAGTTTTTATAAAATACAGTTACTATCTAGTCAAAACAACAGATTCTAGCATATTTTGACTTCACATACTCAAAAAATCCAAGTTCAATGCTTGGGCTTGATGGTGCATATTTCTCAGGATAACCCTCCAATGGATTCCCAAAGAACTCCATACTTGAACAAATTGAATCAAGCTCCTCAGGATACAAAAAGGGGTCCCATGAATTATATAAAACAAACCGCTGCTTGGGGTTATATGCATCCAGAAAACAGTAATACCTCTACCACCAACTTTGAATTACTATACTAGATTTTCGTTATAGTAACTTCTTTTCACTCCATTCTCACCTTCCTCGTTACTTCTTTCCTATAAGCACTAAGTTCCCGTGCAAGACTTCTATAATTAGATCAGTAGAACAACCAATTCAGTTAACATATTTCCTCTGAAAGCAACACAGTTTAAGTAGATCCTGGAATTTATGTCATCCTTTACAATTTCACTGATAATACCAGACATATTATAGTTGATAATGCCACCAAAAACAATGATCTTTACTTGGCCTAAAAATTTGCTAGCAGGATCTCATAAAACCTAAGGCACATTACCAAATGTCTCAAAAGAAAAAGTAATCATGAGGTTAAACAACTTGCCTTTCTGATGCTCATGGCAATCTCACCCATATAGTATGCACAAGTCAGTGTTAAGTTACGTTCTGGACTTGCATTATCTGGGGCATAAAAGAAAAATAAATACAGAAAGTAAGTTTTCCCTGCCAGAAGCACGAGCATACCAGCAGGTAAAATACAAGTTAACAGAATATCACACTGTCATTTTTTATTTCATCTCATTCTCACTCTCTTTGATTGTTTGGGCTAAGGGGTTAATCCCATTATGTCCTTGACACAGGCTAATAGGCTTTGTTAACATTCACCAACAAGATCTAATCACCACTGGTGCCAGCTCCACAAACAAAAAGGCAGGTAGTGCCAAGCAAGAATCCCTCTCCCCACTGATACTGATCCTAAAACACTACTTTCTCTCATAGTTTTATTATTCTACTCATCTCTTTCACTCCTTGAATGCTTCCTGTTTTTTACTTTGTCTTTTTCCAAGGTTTGGGCCCTTTTTGTTACTTAGGTTTTGAACTATTTTAATGTCTTGAAGGTAGTTGCTAGTTGGGTTTCCAGTTTTCCACATTCCCTCCTTGCACTTACAGTATTATTTCTCTTTTTCTTTTTTTTTTTAATAAATACATTGCCCTTGGCATATATCTCCATAAGAAAATTACAATATGCAATGCTAAAAGTTGCTTATAATGAAAGAAAAAACAGAGAGGGAGAAAACCAATATGAATAAAATTCTCATTTAAGCAAGGAATATTGAAAAGAATTAAGGCTTTAGGATTTATCACTGCTATGCGTATATGGTCAAAGCAATTATAACGTCTCAATGATAAGACCTCAGCTGTATAAGTAATATTCAAAAATCCAAAGTTTTTCATTAGAATAGAATTTAGCATAGAAAATATATTTCCTGTAACTACAAAAATATACATAAAAATTATTTTCATATGATTAATCATAATTTAATTAAATTGTATTTTAATGTAGTTGTATCAATTAATTAAACATAAAATTGTTATTGTTTAAGAAAACTTCAAAGATATGCTTTACTTATATAAATTATGTTTTACAAAGGATTCATTACTAACATAATAATACTTTTAGCACACTAACTGTATATATTGTTAAACTATTACAAAACTGTTTTTGCATAAAAAAATTGGCAACAGGTGGGTTAATAAGTCTTGTGATAAATAATTAAATAAATTTCTAAAGACAATGATTTTCTTCCTTTGCACATTATGAGTCTATTTCCTCAACATTAAAGCCATAGCCTTTAGCCAACTGTAGCAAAAGATATTAAGAGAACTTGAAGAAGAAAAGTAGGCTTTACAGAACTTGAAGAATTAATATTATATAACAGGAAACTATAAACAGATTCCTCGTTTCACATAGAAGTTCACACAGAACTTACCTTCCAGACGATCTGAACACGACAAGACAGCAATGCTGCCCTTACGATCCGAAACAACAGCAGTATCAACATCTGTAAGAACACAATCAGCAACTAACCTCTGTGATGGGTCACAATACATTTGATCCAGTTTTTTGGTGTCCTAAAACATGAGAAAGCACAGTCAGTTCAGAACAAATGCAAAGACAATAATTTAATAACACCACATCCATGCAATTGGCAAGGGAGTTGGGGATGGTTACAAACAACTGCTTATGCTACAGTGGTGTGTGTTGGGTGGTATGAGGTGATCACCTAAAATCCATGGTAATCTATACATGGTGACTAGAATCATTAGATCACCATGTTTGGTAAGACCTCAATGATCTTCCATGACAGTGACATATGATCACAAAGAGTGTTTAGTTTACTACCTTAGATGGTCATCTAAGTCCCATCCAAACGGATGGGACCTTTTATCATCAAGATGAGGTAATATGTAAAATTAACTATAGTCAATATAACCTTTTTAATGTGTGAGCAAAATTGTAATTATTTTATATTTAGCTTTTACCTTTTCAAAATAATATTAATTGTACCAAACTTACAAAGAATTGCATGCTTTTTTTTAATGTTTTCTATATAATATAATTTTTTGTTTCATTTTTATTATAATTTTAATAGATCTAATTCAAATTCTTTTTCCCTAATTTACTTTATGAAAGTTAGTTTAGCTATCAATTAATATATTTTTGTATTTGTTAATTTAATAATTTAGTTATATCTTATACTATAAAGTAAATAAAATATTACTAATATTTTACAAATTTTTATCTTTTAAACAATATAGAAATTATTAACTTATTTAACCACTACAATATGGCTATTGGTACTTTCAGACAAAATAATAATTGAATTGTAGTAATACCAAACACAAAGATCTTTAATTCCAGAAAATTAATTATTATTAACTAAACAAGGTGATTCCAAATCACAAGTGATGAGATCACCAATAGTGATGAGATCACCATAGTGATTAGATTACCATGGTAGTCTCAAAAATCATACCAAAACTACCTATTATAAGCATTAGAGGACATGGTTGACATTGGAAACAAATTTACTGTTAAAAGTCTGCATTTTTTCTCACCTCATTATATGAATAGAAAAGAATGCCATCACGACAATCACCTACAGCAATTCTAGTAAAATGTGCAGTCAATGATGTTATCATAAACCGTGTCCTCGCTATTGCAAATCTTCTCACCCTTTGAGGATTATCACTTGGAAAAGCACATACGTAAAACTGAAAAAAGAGGACCAACATCTTCGTAAGCTAATTGATAGCATGACTCTGGCATATTAAAGGAATGCATTATGATTTGTAACTTACAGCATTACCAGCAGATGCCAAGAAGTAACGGTCTAGATATGGACATATAGCAAGTACCATTCCAGGCCAGGTGGTTGTGTAAGCTAACCGTAACTGCCATACTTCAGTTTCTTCCAGTTTTATTCCATCACAGCTAGTATCATCTGGGCTACTGCAGATACTACTGCTTGATAGTTGTTCAGTGGCATGGCCAACAATTTCACAAAATGGTGAGTTTCGTTGAGAAGATGACCCAGCCATAGAAGAGAGTGTCATTGAACCGCTATCTGAATTTTGCACATGTTCAATGCAGAGAACAATAAGACGGCCCTTGGTGCTGTAGCAGCAATGCTCAGTTATATATATGGAATTAAAAGCATATAATATACATAACTATAAAAAGGAAAATGAGAAAACTATCAAGTATTAGTCACCACACCTCTAAGCAAAAATACAATTTTAAGCATTTCAATACTGAAAAATAAGAAAAATAGGGATAACAAAGTAAATGAACCTTTCTGCTTCACCACTGGGCATTATTGCTGGACCAGGAGACAGGCTAGTTCCAATAACCAGAACCTGTTCATTTCCAGCCCTAATTAGCTCCATGCATTTTCCAGTTTCTCCAAGTTCGAGTTTGAAAGATGCCATCACAGACCCACTGAGGGGGTCTACACAACAAATATCAGAAGAACATGTGTCGTTACTTAGCTCAGTCCTCATCACAACCAAAAGCTTACTTTCACTATGATAAAGGACCTTCCGCGGAGTGCCTCCAAGATGAAACTTCTGCACATTAAGCCTCTTACTGTGCACCATCTCCACCTAAATCGTCATGTAATTGATCATATACATGAACCGAAAAGGAAAACAAAGAAGCATTTGAATGCAATACCTAGAAATTATAATATCATAAAACTAGAACAGCTAGTGACTTTGAGCCAATCATTCACCAGTTTGAAATTGGGCTGTTCTTATAATAAATAAGAACTACTTTTCTTATTAATCAGGGTTTCTTTCTTGAGAAGACAAAGGATCCAATAATATCAATTAAGTCATGTAAGACCACCTTTACTAAATTCCTAAAATGCCTACCACTACACCTACGTCAATCGACCACTCGGAGGTCCCTCATGACCTACTACTTGTTCATTCCTACAGCTCTCATGATAACATCCATCAGCAACCAACATCAATCAAAATTTCGCATACATTGCACTAATAGAAAGTTACATTGTTTCAGTTGATCAGGTAATATTTAAATGCACACAATAGTTTTTATCCACTACCATGTGTTTGGATTTCCTTTACGTGACAAATCAGCTCAACATATGCAGGAAAACAAAAAGGCAAAAACCTATTCAGATAATAACAAAACACATAGACAGAGGAAAATATCCAAGACTCCAAGTATTTGTCAATTAATTCATATATTAGGGATAGATTATGGATACAATGCAAAACATCCAGGAAGACTCAGGATGGATAAGCATCAATGATAAGAACGACAACATCATATCCCAACTTTTGTAAAAGTGAACCAATTAGTTTAGAACTTAGAACCCTGCAAGTTCATTTATCATTTTGAATGGTTAACCAGCTTTATTTGACTCCATTTAGATATAGTGTGGGTATGGAAATGCTGAAATCAGGTTCACCCCATTCTATGCACTCATACAGATAGTAGAAGGAATCCAACTTGGGCAGGAATGGCAAGATGCCTTTCAATTAGACACCAATGATAGCTCTAAAAAGTTGAAGTTCCACATATAATATGTAGACCATCTAATTTTCCAACCTAATTTTTGTGATACTAAAATATTCCAAAGACCAAGCAATCCACAAGAAAGCATTTAAATTCAATAATCTCATGCAAGCAATGCTAAAACCAATGAATCCATACCATTTTATATATGTTCAGAGGCAGACAGACAAATCTCACTGCATTTACGGAAGAGGGAAAGAAAACTTTGACAAACCCATAAACATATACAACCATAAATATCATGAACAAATAGTTCCTATCCAAGGTTTACTTCAGAGCATTTATTCCCAACAGTACCAATAAGTCAAGAAGCTAGTTTTCAAGGATGGAAATAAAAAATGAAAATCCTCAACAGACTGATAGCTAAACAACCACAGTAATTCAATGTTCTGTAGATAATGATTCTTACCAAATGTAAACTGTTTTCTGCAACAAATAAAACTCCTTTAGGGCATTCAACAGAACATACAGGGGTTGCATGCGTGGAAGGTTCAAATGATATAGAAGTATAAGAAAGGCTGTGCCTAGCCGTGTGCAATAACCAAGGTCTGTCACTGAGAGCTATAATATCAGCATCAAGTGAATCACTCAGGGGAACCAGGAAAACTGGGGTGATGCCAATTCTACGAGTCGCGATCAACTGAAGAGTAATAGGAACATCATCTTTCTCACTCATATTAACAGCACACGTTTCTGAACCAAACAGATTTGCGGTCTTTGTATTTGACAAAACTCTCTCAACTTTTCCAAGAAAAGGACTAGAAAAACTACAACCATGTAATTCTGATGAAGAAGTCACAAAGGCAGAAGGCCACTCATACCGAAGCAGCATTCCATTCCTTAATCCTGACAGAACATAAAACTGATCAACTAATATTAGCCTAACGTCTTGAGGAATGCAACCACTGATTGCAGTTTCCATAGTACTTGTTAATGAAATTGTTCCAGTAGCAAGAATTTTTAGGCCTTGAGTTGTAAATGACAGAATTTCCACTGATGGCCTATGTGTACCAATAACAAAGGTAATATCCCTGCCAACTCCAACAGGAACAACGGCTCTGCCAAAATCATTCACCGGGTTTAAAGGAGAGCTTAAATGCTTTTGAGGTATTGATATGCACGATAACTCATACTGCAATCTCACATACTGCAATTCATATATTTCATAATAATATGCTGATAGTGATCTCACCCCAAGAATAAATAGAAAATATGGATTAGAAGTGGAGACAACTATCAAATTTTGCCCAACTGCCCCCAAACTGATACTTGTGTTATCTGGGGACCAAGTTGTGCAAACTGGAGAAGACAAAGGAATACCTTCAGAATGGGCAGCCTTTGTAGGCAAACAAAGCCTAATTGCATTTTGGTGAATTTGGACAAGCTGGCCATCACCCACAAGACCACATGCCAAAGTACAGACATCAGGTTGGAAACCAACTGAATCAGTAACATCAGTAAAGCTTAATCCAACTGACAGTACTCTGGTCTCTTCAACAAATGATAGCACAAGAAAAGAATGATAAGGATCTGTTACTTTCATCCGAACTGTCCAAGTTCCACTTATGCCTTGGTAAATGGGGGCAGTCCTCAAAAGCTTTTCTATGCTTATACCACTTCGTATAATTCTTAATGATCCCTCTGGTGCAACACCACAGCATGCAAACATTTGATCACATTTCTCCCCATGGTAATCCACTATTGACATGTCAAAGATTGGCACTATATTTTGAATAGGACTTGTGTATATTAGCCTCTCACTTTCTACCTTAAGGACCAGACCATCCCCCATTTCTACAATTGCTGCCAGGAACCCACCATCAACCCACAAAAGGGACTTGCAAGGTTGACTTCTGTAGAGGCAATCAGATACATTCACTTTAGGACCATCAGAATCAAATGAAATCTCAATCATGAAAAATTCTCCAGTATCAAGACAAAAAATCATCCTCGGACATCTATCACTTTTGGTTCCCAACTAAATGAGCATACATGTTTGCAAGTTGATTTTCCATCGCCATTGTCATCATCTATACACATTGGATCATAATCACTTAGCTGCAATAAAGCACATGCAGCAACATTAAATAAACCATCATCATCAACATCATGTGCTACACATAACTCTTCAAGACAATTCTGTTCCTCTAGTGCATGGGCTGAAAAGTCTAAGGTTGTTCTATACACACAATTGGGATTGTGTGCATCCCTAAGATCCATCAAGAGTGCATCACCAACCCTCAACAGGAATGCATAGCCACAGGAATGAGGAACTTCAACAATGCTATGTGCTAGTGGTCCAGCTTCAAGATACTGTGAAAGGACGTAAACTGCATGTTCTTTAATATTCCATCCCAGCAAAACCAGTTCATTCAGGACATTTCCTTTCCTGCAGCAACAAAAAGTAACCCTTCCTTAGACTAGCCTAACCAAATATATATATATATATATATATATATATATAAATTATCCCATAAGAACACAAATAAACTATAAATGTGACTATTTCCTAGATGGTAATTATACATTCAGTTCATACCTATTTAGAACAATGGCTAGAACGGGATTGTGATCCTTATTTGGTTGGACAGAACCTTTTGAAACAAAGCACATGCTCCATATTGTACCGCGTATAATAGTTCTTTGGGTAGTTCTGGTAGAACTACCACTGCCGTCATTCTCAGGAGGATAAAATATTCTCTGAAACACTCACAAATAAGACCTCATAACTCCATATATACAGTAAAACAGAAGTCACCAACAAAATGCTGCCAAAACATTAAATCTAGTCTGAAAAAGCACTACCTTATCAATAATATCATCTCCATCAGACATTGAAAGAGAAAAAAGAGCCAATCGGTCTTCATAAGCACTAGTAGCAATGAAACAACCTCTGTAAAAGGAAAATCAGGTAAGTTAGGGTCATACACTGCATTGCTAGATACAATATTTCTTCAGTTTTTACAAAATTAATCCAGTTTCCACAAGCAGAGACAGATAAGAAAATAACATACACACAGCTTAGTCATTGGCACAATTCAACTTACGCGGAATCAACAGCTAGCATTCTTCCAAGTTGATACCTTGAGTTTCCAGGATCAGAAAGCTGAACAAGGGCCACGGGGAAAAACCTATCTCAAAAAATATGTATTATCATAGTCAAAGTAAACATACCACATTGTCAACAGTAGAGCAATTAAGCAGGTTCATTTTCACCATGGAAAATGTAACTAAAGGATAGAAAATAAAACCTGTGCATCTCATTACAAAATGTGAGAAATGATAGCTTTCCAGAATCAGAAATAACAATCAGCAGGTCTTTCCCACGCATCTAAATAAAGAAAAAGAAGAAAATTAATTCAAAACAAAATTCTACTATAATTGTATTGCAGAAAACTGCTTCATGGCATACTAGCTTTTCTCCACTACAACAATAACAACAACAACAAAAAACTAAGTTTTATATCCAATAATTCTGGGGTCGGCTACTAGCTTTTCTCCACTCTAAAAATTTTTTTATTAACAAAAAAAAAAATAAAGCAAGAAATCACTTCACTCTGACAAATTAAAAGGCAAGATGTTATGTCATACAATGCTACCATTATAAGTTTCAGTGTAGACCTGAGAATTTCGTGCAGAGACCTTCTCATTCCAGGGGAGAATGGCAAGATCCTTTATTGTACCAAAGACAGGCTGCTCACAGACAGATGTTGCAATACCATCTTCACCAATTATTACCAACTCTATGGACGTCTCCTGAATAAAACACCATCAAACAATCAGTTCAGAAGCAAGAAGTTCATCTGATACAACAAAGAGTCACGCTCAAAGCAGAACAAACTTAGACAGCTTTCTCGGGGATTAGATCAATGATCCAAAAAAATCCTAATCCATAACCCTTTATGCCTTTCATCTAAACCTATGTGAGTGAAGTTTCCGATTTTCCATATTTATTCGTTATTTATATTCCATTTTTAAAAAACCAATGCCAACCCAATTTCCATATTGGCTCATGATGCCACTATTCCACAACAATAAGACCCTTTATTTTTTTTAGATTGTTTTTCCAAGACAACTCTAAAACTAAAATTGTCGCTGCATATAATTCATTTCCAAGCATAAATTGAAACGAATGATAGTCACCTAATTAGTTACTAAATTATTTTATCTTCATGAGAATGCCTACCTCAACTATTGCATTGAGTCACTGACTGAGTCAAGTTGTGAAAAACACAATTTTTTTACCTAGTGATCTCCAGGAATTAAATTACTGTACTTTCCTTATATAATGTTCAATTAAAGTCAAAAGACATTAAGGAGAGAAGAGTACTTTAAATTTTTTAACATTATTCTCTCTCCATTATCTACAATTCTCCCAATTTTCTGAAGTAATTTTTACAGTAAATCATTAAAAAGTATTTTGCTCATGCATAATGTGCGGTTTGCAAGTATGCAAGTGTGTGTTGATATGATTCCCTAATATGGAATTCAAGCAAATTTATAATCTGAAGTCAAAAGATCAAAGTATCATCGTCCATTAGTATCATCATCCATTATGAATAATGAGTAAGCTGATAAAAACAATATAAACAACTAAATGGCTATAGATTCCAAGAGACGCATGACAAATTAAAAGTCGGAACTATAAGATAAACTAAAAATATTAGAAAGGACAATTTTTCGAGCATGGGGACTTTAAGAAGAGCTTAAGCTTGCTATTATGGAAATGTTATAGGCAGGGTTAATGGCAGCACAAGCGCTTTGATGACCCAAGAAAATCAGTTTGAATGTCAGTAATTTCCAGTTCATATATAGAACAAAACACCTAGTGGAAAAGTGAAAACAATATCAAAACAGTAAAAAAATTATAAGGAATATTTAAACTCTTTTCCTATTGGAATTTATCTCTTACAAATTAAGATTAGACCACGCATAGTGTACTTTAAGAACTAAATTTAAAGCCTAACCAAACAGAAACCCTTAAAATTAAAAAAAAAAAAAAGAAAAAGAAATACGGTCTAAATGCAAGTCGATTATTGTTTCTACTTTCTACTAGTCAGAAAATTGATCGAATTCCATGACTAAAAACTACAACTAATAGAAAACCAGGAAAACAAGTAAGGACCTTGCCGAAAACGACGTCGAAGGAAGAAGGAGAGCGGAGGTGACCGTAAGCGACCTGGAGGACAACGCTTCCTCTGAGAACGCACTTTGCAAGGTAGTTAACGCCTTGGGAAGAAGCAGTCGCCGATGACGACGATGATGAAGAGGAAGATGCCTTTGCGGTTGAGCACTCTTCCTCCGAGAGCGCCATTTACCTTCTTTTTTTTTTTCGGAGTGAAAGGGCTAGGGTTTATCTCTTTCCTGATCGGATTTTTGTTTTTGAATTCCACTTATTGTTTATGGAGAAGAGAAGGATTTTTAATCTTTAGGTTAGAGTTGTAGAGGAAAGGTTTGGTGAGGAGAGTGGCTCCAATTCCATGAGGTGCGTAAGAATAAACATCCGAGGTTTTCTTCCGTCAAGAGTCTACAATTCAATTTTTTTTTCTTAATTTAGTAATTTATTGGAATCACCGTGATTTAAACAGGCGGATGTAACGGAGACAGAAAAACAAATTACGCATTTTAATAATAACATACACGAAGGGTATTTTTTTAATTTCCAATCTATACTTAACTTCTAATCTCTATCTAACTTAAAATCCTTTTGAATTAATTTTGAATTAAATCATATCTAAATTACACGAGATCGATATTAAAAATAATAATCGAATATTAAATCAAAACAAAATCAAATGAAATTATTAAAAAATCAAATCCAAATGAACCGAACATAAACTCGTCTCCATCCGTCTTGTTCCCATCCTTCAATCTACCTAACTCCCTAAAAGGGGCATTAAAAAATGAAATATGAAGATAAATGAAAATAAATCAAACCAATGCGAATTTTTTGGTACATATAATATTGATCTACAGTACACAATGGAAAATAATCCCTTCCCGTCCCAAGATTCAAACTTGTATTTTAAAGCCCTGGTGAGATTTGGAATCAAAAGTAACGAGTAAAATGACTAAACTAAACTGCTGAATGAAACGAAAATGGTATGACAAATTGTCAATCCTAGATGGTTTTACAGTCTGCAAGTGGTTTCAATACATTTATAGACCGAGATACATTCCTCTTGAATGAAAATGAAACTGACATGCTTTTAACTACAATCCATCTATATTTCAGACTCCAAGGATTCCAGGGAAACATAAGATTTGTTTATGGAATGGACATCATGACAAAAGCAATTTGCAACAAAAGCTCAAACTCAGTCTGCTACTGTCCATCTAAGGTCCCGAGTGACTCCTTGAGCAGCCTTTGTGCTTCTTCTCGCCTCCTGGCAAAGAAACCATATGTCAGAACCATGCAACTGAACTACGTCATTTGCTAACAGTACCATTAGGTGTAAGAAATAGTATGCAAACAATTGCCGGCTATTAGCACAACAAAGCAACAAGCAGTCCTGGCCACATAACAACATGGCTTTAAATGCAAGAAACTCCAGCCATATGCCTAAACTAGTTAGGTTAATGTTTGAGAAGGGCATTTAGTATGGTAATGACATTGAAAGATCTCATAACCACAGAATTCTTTGGGGAATGTCTCTGCCTCTTGTGAAGAGGAAATGCAATTAAGTCGATAAATAACATAAGGGTAGTAACTCTTCTACATTCTTGGAGTAAAATTACCCCTAGTGAATGAGTGACAAGGAAAAAAAAAACACACACGCACACAATAGAAGATTCAATTTCATTCCAAGGCCGTTGACCATTTTCCACAAGATGCATAACAAAGCATTACCATAATCATCGTAATTATAGCAAAATTCAAATTGCTATAAATGATCTTATTCCGTATAGATCTTCTAAGCAACTATTTATTAAAAGCATGCTCAAAGATCAAATCAAACTCCTTAACGAGGCATTACCATAATCTTCGTAATGATAGTAAAATTCAAATTGCTATAATTGATCTTATTCCATATAAATCTTCTAAGCAACTATTTATTAAAAGCATGCTCAAAGAACAAATCAAACTCTTTTGGCAGAAAATTGATTTTGGGGCAGTTTCTGAGCTTGTTTAGGAACATACCTCTTAATATCCTCCAGAGCCTGTTTACGGCGCTGTATCTGAAGTTCTAGAATGTGAATTAGTGTTGCTCTAGCCTGCATAAACAAAATACAAACATAGAACCAAATGAATTCAAAAGTATTTACCCAAAAAAAAATAAAAAAGCATCCAGATAATGCAACAATGTTTTACCTGATGAGGACGCAATGAGTTGAGCAAGTGGTGCAAGTTCTTGAACATAAGAGATATCTCCTCCACTCGTCTTGCATATTGTGATGGTCTCTCAACAAGAACATCAGCAAGCTCCAAAATATGTAGTTGCAATTCTCTGTTAAGCGACCTTAATTCCTTCTTGAAATCTAAAAATGGTCAAAATATTTATCAATAAGTATCTCATATAATCCATTTTACTCATCAAAGAGAAAAATATTGATGAGAGAATTGGATTATCCAACTATGCTATAGCCATAAAAACCTGCAGAAAGAACAAGTATTAAGTATAAATTGCATGAAAAATTCATTAAAAAATGTCTCCTAATTTTCCACATACCCTTAATGTCATCCCATTCATAATATCATCTTATCTTATCTTATCATAATCTTATACACCAAACATACCCTTAATGTTTTCACAAAATCAAAGAAACAAAAATGAAAAAGCAAGAACAAGAAATTACCAATATTGGGTCCTTTGGAATAGAGTTGCCGTACGCCTTGATCTTCCAAGCTTGGAAGTACATCATCAGTCTACACCAAAAAGAAACACCAATAATTCAGAGCCGATCCAATTAATAATACTAGTAAGTAATTTACAGATAAAAGGGGAAAACTAACGGTGTAATTGCCGCCAAAGCAAAGGTAGGTGCCTTCGATTGGTGGCGGAGGCTCCGGTGCCGATTTAGGGTTTTGCAAGTAATCTTTGTAGAGCCTGTAATACGGCGGTGGTGGAGGGTACGTAGCTGTTGCCATCGCTAGTCACCCTAACACTTCCAAAAAAATTTAAAAATATAAATTTCAATAAATCTTTGGGATTAAGATTGCTGCAGATTAAAATTTAAAAAACCAAGCTTGGTAGTATGCAATACCTATCACTAAACTTTGAAATTGAACAGTGAAAAAGATAGAGAGAAACGTTAAAAAAGAAAAATTAGGGTTTTTCTTAATAGCGAGTGGTAAATTTGTAAATAACTAATTGAAAGATATGCATAAAAAGAAACTCAACTCGTTTGACTTCTTGAGTTGCTCGAGCTACATTCGACAGCAACCGAGTTGAGCGGTTTGAGTTTTTATCGATCAAGACAAAGATAGAGATGGAAAAACAACGACCGGTTATAAATGAAACAACTGGATCCAAAAGGATGGTTAAGTTCCGGGTCAGACCAAATTAAAAGCCCATAGGCCCAGAATTGGACCAGATCGGAATGGGGTAATTCTGCAAACCAAACAGGGACAAAGACGTCTGGGTAAATTAGAAAAGAAAGCTAGCAGACTAGGAGAGCTTTCATTCAACGTCAAAGCCAAAAGAACCGTTAAAACAGTTAAATATAAAATGAAAACGAAGGAAAAGTATACTCTAATTTTAGCTTTTGGTTTTCACTTTATCTTTTCTTCTCTTTTTGAGAGAAGGAGAGAGGTAAAAAGACAAAAAAAAAAAAAAAAGAGAACTTTAAAGCCAATTTTGAATGTTAAATCCTCGAATTTTTTACCTTCGATAAACATTTTTTTTTCTAATTAAACTTGTTTTTTATTTTTTACTTCCTGTTGCGGTGATTTTCTTTTATCAGATCTCTGGACTCGTCAGCATTTCAAAATGATGGAGGTATTTTCTCTCGATTTTTTCAATTTTTTTCTACTTTTAGCTCAACATTTTATTAATGAAATAATTAGAATTTGGTTCTTCAGTTATGATCCTTTGGAGATTAGGAATTTAATGCATTTTTAGGTTTTTGTTTTATTTCGTTGCCTGGGAATTGGGAGTGCTTATATTGAAACTTTCGGTGTTTGGATCTTCGGAAAATTAATTGATATTTAGTCAATAGAATCATAATCATTTGCTAAGAGATTAAAAAGTGAAAATTTGTTCTTAGTTAGGGTTTAAATTATCTTTTAGGATAGAAGAAGTTTTAACTTTATTTTCTGATGAGTTAAATTTTAAAGAGAAAATCATGATCATTTGCCGGAGTTTCCTTTTCTTTTTTCTTTTTTTTAGTGAATTTTGTGTGGCTGATTTGGGTGAATATCCAAGGGCAGAAAAGGGTAGACAGATTAATGTTTTTAATTTGATGATAGTCGAAATCTGATTACCCCAATGAGATGTCGGCCTGTCTTTGATTTTGTATTAGAAGCTGGATCAATATGTTTCCTTGTTGCCGTTAAGGCTATTTTGAATTTAAAAGATATTGAGTCTACTACTCCTTTTGGTTGCCAAGTAGTTTTTTTTATCAAACCAGGTAGTGATATGTTGTAGCTGACATCATTTGTAGGAATCTCCAAGTGCGGATCCTCCTGCAGGTGATGTAGAACTCGTACCAGAGAAGATCAAAGATGGAAAAGAGGGAGGTCCTGCATTTTGCTGTGACCTTTGTGATGTAGAACTAGTTTACAATATAGCTCAAGCATTCCTCCCGGGGTTAGCTACAGCTTGTGTCGACAATACAACAGGTGATGTTTTCAGGTCCCCTGGTTCGGTAGCTGCCGATATTAGAAAAGAAATGGTGGAGTATCTACTGCAAAGAAGTGAAACTTTTGTGGCTGAATCTATTGTCTTGGATGGTGGTCCAGAGGCAGAAGCATCTGACCATCCTTATGATATCATTGCTTATCTTGTTGATGACTTTGCAAGTTCAAAGAGGAATTTGTTTAGTAGAGTTTCAGGATGGCTACTAAGTGAGACTAGAGAAGACAAGATAGATGATTTTGCACAAGAAATGGAAATTAATGGGTTTTGGTCTATAGACAAGAGAGAAGCAATTGTACAAACTTTGCTGAAGAATGTTGACTTCAAGAATGAATTCCACTGTGACATGAAATTTGACTCAGCAGATGAACTTGCTCTGCATGTGCCAACTTGCAGCTATAGATCAATGAACTGCGAAAATGAGGGCTGTGATGCTAGATTTTCAGCTAATCAAACAGAGAAGCATGATTCTATTTGCCCTTTCAAGATAATTCCATGTGAGCAAAAGTGCTCAGACAACATCATGAGACGTGAGATGGACAGACACTGCATAACTGTCTGTCCGATGAAGCTTGTGAACTGCCCTTTCTATTCAGTTGGTTGCAAATCAGCCATACCTCAATGCAAGATTGAAGAACATCGTTCCACAAACCTCCATTCTCACATGCTATATATTCTTCAGGGCATTCACAAGGAAGCATCCATGGAGGTACTAAGAGAACGGGTGGAGCAACTAGAAAAGGTGAGTCAAGATGTCATTGAGAATTTCTTGCTCCAATAAATTTTTATTTTTCTTTTTTGCTTCTGAAGGCAACCAATTTCTAAATATTAAATGAGAGATAAATTACTATTTAAGCACTGGATTTCTTTCTTTTCCATTTGTTTATAAAGCCATTCCTTGAAACATCATGATGAAGGACTTTATAGAATTACCAAACATCATAACTTGTATGTCTAACTTCAATTTCTCACTCAAAGCAATCACACTAGGAGAAAACTTTATTAACCTGGTGCTTTGAACCAAATCAGTGTCTGTACTTATATTATTGAACTGCAACTTTGGAAGCAGAGAAGAAATGTTAACAGAGGTCATATAAAGATGCCTGCAAGATATAGGATATCAAGATCGATATGAAATTAGGATGACTTGCTAATGCACATGCATTTAGCAGCCTTTTTCTCTCATATGGTTGATTGCTTTTCGAGATATGCTTTATAGGTAGTTTATTCAAATGAAAGCTGTAGATTACATATATTTGTGACCATATTGATTCTTTCTTTTTTCCTTTTTTTATATTCAAGCAATGCTCTCACACAGATAGGGGTTGGGGATTCGAACCTAGGAGTTACAGAATTGGTTGTTACATGTCACTGGTTGTTTTCGGAACACCAAACTTTGAGCAGTTTTCCTTTTGCTTTGATCACCAATACCTTCACAATCATTAACATCAAGTAGCTTTTATTGATGCCACCACATTTTTGCAATACCACATGCAATTGGACAATTTTTTTCCTCTGGCTTTTTGTGCTTATAATTTTTTTTCCACCAAACATGTGATATTATTTAAACACTTCAGGAGAGAAAGGTAGTAACAACCGTTCACATAGAGTTAACTAAAACACAAATGATTAGTTACTGCACCCATCTGTGAATTGATATGTGTGCATGTATACATGCTAAATACTAAGAAGGTTTAGAAGAAAAGAGTTTCTGCTATCTGATAGACCTTCCAAATTTCATTATGTAATTATAATGAGATCAGAATGCATGAAAGTTCACAGTGATGTTCGAGTTCAATTTTGCAGCATCAACCATATATGGTGGTGCAGGAACGGATGAAAGTCATTTCTGACATAAATTTCCATGTTGCTCTGCTGTTCTGATCCTCTTTTGTTAACATCTAGATGGAAAATTTCTTGTCTCTTTGAAACAAAGCTACTTTTTTTCTTTTCACTACAGGCATCTTCTCGTAAGCTAGCAGACATCCGAGATGTGAGATCTCTAACATCCAGAGTCAAGGATCTTGATGCACGGCTTGGGCCATTGGAAGTTGGTGCATCAAACAAAATTGATGAAGAAGCCACAAAGACTGGAGCAAAGCTTGAATCTCTGGAAGTTAGTGACACAAACAAAGATACTGAAATGGCTGCAGAAACTGAAGTCATCAATTCTGAAGCAAAGCCTCCATTAGAAGTCACTCCAACAGACAAAGATAGTGAAGAAGCTGTAAAAACCGAAGTCAAGATAATGAAGCAAAGCCACGATCTTTAGGATATCTTACAACAAACAATGATAGTAAAGAAGCTCCAGAAACAACAGTCAATCCTTCTGAAGCAATGTCTCCATTAGAAGTTACTCCAACTAACAAAGTTAATGATGCAGCAACGGAGAATTTAGTCAAGGAAGTTGAAGGAAAGCTTTGGCCTTCAGAAGTTAGCACAACGAACAAAACTAGTGAAGATGGTAAGGGTACTTCAAACCATGTTCCTAAAGTCTCACTTGTTGGCTAATAGTTTCTTTAACCAACCATATACATGAAATGAAGAAATCTTCCTGAATCTGGATTTGCCCTTGTATTCTTTCCTTTTGTTGAATTCTTGGATTATGTTCCCTCAACCTTTCTGTTAGCTGGCATTCATTTTTTTAACATTCTTTTCATTACAAATTTGAGAGATTAAACGGTAAACTTGGTTCTTCTCTTCCATAAGAGAAGAACCAGCTTGGATATCCATTTATGCAAAGTATCTGTGCAATTCGTTTTTCTTTCTTAATTTTTTTTCTGCTTTTTCCCTTTTTAATAATAAGCAAGGAAGATGTTGAAGGAAAAAAGAAAAAGTGAAAAATATAAATTTGCAAGTTGTAACTCTGTTTTCCTTTAGGAATGCAGAAACAAAAGGATGGGAGGAAAATAGATAAGGAAAAAAAAAAAGGAAAATAAACAAAAATTCAGATGTTATATGTTTAAAATTTTGTTTTCCTTTTTGGATATTGAATTTTTATTTTACAGAAGAAAATTTTGAAAAATGAAAAAAAAAATTTACATCTAGTATCTTATTTTCATATATTTGGGAATTTTCCCCTTAGCAAGCACAAAAATAATAAAATGAAAAAAATCTATTACAAAAAAAAAACAAAGATTTTGATATTTTAAATTTTGAAAATTTTTTATTTTCTAGTACATGCATCAGCCATATGAGAGAATGACAGCCACAACTACCATTATATGCCGCTGCTTTGTTATTGTTGCTACTGCTTTCGGTGTGACAACTTTAGAAAATATCTGCTCAGTCATATGCTTGATTCAGTTTTGTCTTTATACTTGATATTGGACTGTATCATGAAAAATAATTCTCTTTTTTTGTTAATTTTATCCTGAGGTTCGAATTCAAATTTTTTTAGAATTATGTATAAAGAAGTTATAATTAAATATATATTTATATAAAAATTATTAAATTAAATTAAATTAAAAAATAATTAAACAAATATAATATAAAAATTAAATCAAATTCATACAAGAATTAAAAAAATCTTATGATTCTTGAGTCTATTATTTATCAAGATTTTTTTAGTAAATTTTAAATTTTAACTGTAGAGATTACATATGAGAAAAAATTAAAAAAATAAAAAATTGATTCAAAAATATAATATTTAATTTTATTTAAATTTATTTTTTTATTTGATTCGGATTGAGTTCGAAAATTAAATAAATATATTAGATTTGAAGTCCAATTTTGGATTTAAAAATAAAAATTAAAAAATTATATAATCATATATTTTTATTAACTTTTATATATTTTTAATTTTTTATATAATAAAAATAATTATTTTATGTCTAAATATATTTAAATTATTAAATATTATATTAAAATAATATATAAAAAATTAAATTTTAAATTTTAAAAATCAATAAACCCAACTTATATAATTTAGGTTTGATTAATATCAAAAAAATTTATTTAAATATAAATCGAATTTTAAAATTTTATAATATTATATATTATTTAAAAAATTAAATCAAATTTGATTTAATTTAAATTGTCTATCACTATTAATAAAAAATATTATTTTATCATTTAAAAGCTCATGAATAACACAACATCATCAGAGTTTTTATTATCACAATATCCAATGAAATTTAAATGATATCTATATTATCAAAAAAATATTATAAAAAATTAGTTAAATAACTATTTTAATAATACAATCATAATTAATAATCAATAATATATTCTTCCTTTAATATTTTACACGAGAGTTTTGAAAATGTTGTGTTGCATCAATAAATGTAATTAATTGAGTTTAAATTGATATAATATTAAATTTAAGTTCACTCTATTAAAAATGTAATTAATTGAATTTGAATTGATATAATATTAAATTTAAATTTGATTCAAAATTTAAAATTTGAAATTCAACTCAAATTAGATCGAATTTTAATTTTTTAATTCTAATTCGATTTAAGATAAAAATTAAGTTACTTGAGTTTATTCAATTAAATTCAATTAATATATAAAAATAAAATTTATTTTATACTCGATAAAAATTTAATTATTTGTAATCGAGATATTTTATTCATTAAAATAATAAAAATATATTAAAATATAAAATTTTAATTACACTCATAAATTATTTAATCAAAATAAAAATATTCAAATTTAATTAGATTGATAAATCAAACAATTCAAATTCAATTAGAAAATAATCAAATTAAATTTAAATAAGTTGCAAATAACAACGAATCATTTATATCCTTAAATCTACCCATCAATTAATCTATGGTCTATATCATAAATTCCGCAGCATTAATCCATCGTGCTCCGTATCACCGTCAATCTATTTCATAGGTTTATACCATACTACTTGCATATGCTTTTAACTTTCACCCATTCTAACTTTAATTTAGCTATAAACACCTTATGGTGATTGACTGCAGCTTGTAAATCGGATCCATTTAAATTATTGTTTTGAAATATTAACAAGAATATCTTTTAAGATTATCAAACAGTAAATAGATGATTGAATAAATTTAAAGGCCGGTTCGAAAATTAAAATTTTCGAAATCAACGTAGTCAAACTCTCAATTAAAGCAGAAGCCTACACGTAGCTCACGATCACCTAATCCACCACTCGTACAGTTGAAAAATCTTGGTACAATCTCAGAGTAATTTTGTCCTCACTTTTTATCTACATATACCTCCACGGCCACACGCTTCACACTCAAGCAGAGGAAAGTAGCACAGGGTTTGTTTGTTTGTTTGTTTGATTGATTCAGAGATGGGAGTGGTAATCATCGACGGATCAACGGTGAGAGACTTTGTGAAAGATGAGGAACAGTTCACGAAGAGTGTGGATGAGAGTTTCGCATCTCTCGATCTCAACAACGACGGTGTCCTTTCCAGGTCCGAGCTTCGCAAGGCCTTTGAGTCTATGCGACTCATCGAGGCCCACTTCGGTGTCGACGTTGCCACGCCCCCGGAGCAGCTCACCCAGCTTTACGACTCCATTTTCGATAAGTTCGATTGCGATGGCAGCGGCACCGTTGACCTCCAGGAGTTCAGATCTGAGATGAAGAAGATCTTGCTTGCTATTGCTGATGGATTGGGGTCTTGCCCTATCCAGATGGCTCTGGAGGATGATGACCAAAGTTTTCTAAAGAAGGCTGCTGACCTTGAGGCTGCCAAGCTCGACCCAAGCCATGCTGAGGCTTCCTGATCGATCGATCCTACAAGATTTCTCAACTTAAATTTATGTACTTCTTGTTGTAATTACGGCCAGTTGTGAAAAATGTTGGGATCTAAATCTTTAGTATAAGCCATCTTTTGTCCCGAATCTAACAAGTCGGGGTTTTTAAGGCTGTTTCAAGCTTTCAATAATGGCTGCAATAAGATATCCCATCAAGTATTCTCTTCCAATGTAGTTCACTTCAGAATTCTTGAGTATCAGATTTTAAAACCTCAACTGAAGTTAATTCTCCCGATTAAAACCTTGTTTTACCATTTGAAAGAATCAATGAAACTTGGCAAAAAAAAAAACCTTATGGATACAAGATAGCACCAGAAAATTGCAACAATAACTCCCATGGCACTAGCATGGTAGCATCCATAGATAAAAAAGTTAAAAATCCAATAATCAAAGTACAACAGACTTCTAATTCTAACTGGAGGTAGATAACATATAAAAAACAAAATTAGCTTAAAGATTACTGCAGCGTTATTAAGCACGAACCCCGCGGTTGAGACTGACCATACGAGCTGAAGCATCCATCTGGGAGCCTCTCATTCCTGAACCTGTTCTCCCAGAATATCCACCCGTTCCTCGTGACTGACCTGACCGATTCCTTGAATACCCAGCTCCAGCAGCCTGTCCTAACGACAATGGTCTACCACCACCAGAACGACCAGAACGACCAGAACTACCTTGCCTTCCCTGAGTGAAGGAGAAGTCTTGCCACCTACCACCAACAGCAGCTGTTCCAGCAGCATATTCCTGGTTTTCTCGTCGCCTTAGTGGCAGATCCAATCCACTACCACCAATCCTAGCCTCCACTGCCCTTTCATTACTTTCAGCAAGTACTGAGAGCTTCTCTGTCAACTGAAATGCCAAAGTCTGTAACCTCGAGTGCTCAACATCATGGAAGACAATGCACCGCGTTGGTTGGTCCCAACTTGCATGGAGTTCTTCATTTATCATCATCTTGCTAACTATGCTATTAGTCTGGGCATCTGAAAGGTCAAACATTTTGGTGAGTTGGTCCAAGCTTAGCGAATCATAGGATGAGAAGTAAGTAAATAGGTAAGTCCTCAAAGCCTCTTCCTTGATCTTGGCTTTCAGCATTTCAAGCACATTCTCCCGGTTTCTAAGGAGCTTCCAAACATCGAGAGAATTAATGACATCAAAGGCATTCTGGAAATCTCCCTTGCAAAGGGCCCTGGTGGCAGCCATTACATGGTCCCGCACATTTTCAGGGGGGCCAGTAAATGTCTGTCTCTCACTCACCTCAAGCAACCGCCTAAATGTCTTACTTATTACCTTGCGTTTGGCATCAAGAGTGTTGGCTGCCATGTTAGGCACCTCAAGCAGCATGGCACATATCAAATGCACAGCCTCCAGAAGCTCAAGGTTTATGTGCATATGGTAGGGCATCTGACGCCTTCTTTCCAACCTTTCCTGATAGAATCCAGAGATTCACGTGTTTAAGCATTTAAACAATTGCATAATAACATGAAATCCCTATTAAAGCTCATAATTATAACTTTTACAAAAGGTCAAATTTACATACATTTAAGACCAGTCAGTAGCCACAAATGGGTTTGAAAAAGTCAATATTTACTTGCTATCACAATAGTTCTTACAATTATGCCAATGATTGGATATCCATTACAGCTCAATTACTCCAAAATAACAAAAATGACAAGTAGCAAAGATACTTCAACTAGATTTCCATGAGTTCGTCATCTTGTTTATGCTATTATATTTGTTTCCATCACTTAAACATCCATGTGCCTAATAGAGACATCATATAATAGAGAATCGTCCATTCAACCTCATTAGAACGAATACCATCTAACCAACTAATCAAAAAATTATTATTAAAAATCCATACCAATCCGAAATTAACATGCAAAAACATCATATGCAAAAAGTAAAAACACTGAAACTATACATACTTTACAATTATTAGTTAAAATAATTGTGGATTAAATCTGTCAATGAATGATATGGTGATCGGTACCTGTTCTGGAGTCTTCTCATGATATCGACTTTGTGAGACACCTTGTGCAAGCAATTCCTTCACTCTCCCACCAGAATACAGTTCAGAAAGACAGCCATGTCCTTCAGCAATTAGTCCAACACAGAAGGCACAAAGTCCAACCTGTGCCATTGCCCGGTTAAAAAGTATCTGTGTTGAAACATCCATATGCTGAATATTATCCTGCAAATGACTCATCAGCAGCAAATCACGAGCTATTGAAAACTCATCAAAAAGGGCATGGTGATAAATATCACAAAGCATGGCACGGGCTTTGGTCCGCTCATCTCCATTTTTGTATATGAGAGACACTAGGATATCCATCAAAGCTCTGCTGTTCTCAGGGAAGGTGGACTTCCGAGACACAAGCTCTGGAGTAACAACAAATGCAGTTGGACCCCGACTCTCCTCCACTTTAGGCTCATCACCATCTTTTTCTCCATCAGCAGCTTCTGATAGCTCGGCCAGTTTCCTCATAGCATCATAAACCTCTTGAGGCTTATAATAGATGAGTTCAACACGCCTTAGAGCAACCTTTGCAGCAGATTTCAAATCATCAGTACGCTCTAAATACTCCTGAACATTTTGAGCAAGTACCAAAAACATAGGCTCATCTCTCAGTCTTTCAACATACTCGCGAGTGTGTGGATCAATGCACTGCAAGCTCTTAAAGAACTCATTATCTATTCTCTCAAGGAAGGCCACCAAATTTCCCCAAACATGGATTGTGCCATTGTAGTCTGCTCCCTTCTGGGTTTCATTCTCATCAGGCTCAATCATATCATCAACCACAATGTTAGGGTACTGAACAAGAATGTCCAATATGACAAGCATATTCTGTACACACTTCTTCCATACATTTATAGGCATGTGTCCACTAAGACCTCGATTAACATCAAACTGTGCAGATATAACACTGAAAAGGATCTCAAGCTTCTGTGCAGGAGTCTTAGCAACCTTTGTTAAGAAGGAGAGCTGCTCAACCTGTTCAAACTTTCCAGTTCCCTTCCTTCCCCTAGCAGCCACAATCTCTTTAAACTTCTTATTAACCGTATCCCAAGTGATCTCGCTAGGGTCCTTCTTAAACTCCCGATCCATCAACTTATCTTTCTTGCTCAGTTTCTTCTCCCAAGCCCCATCAGCAGTATCATCCTCCGGTTCTTCCCCCTCATCTTCCTCATCACTAGACTCAGCAATCTGTAATGGGTCCTCAAACTCAGAACCAGATCCATCAGATTCCTCATCTTCATCCCCATCTTCAAACTTCTCCTCCTCACTCTCAGGATTCTCCCTAAAATTATTAATCAATTCCTCATACTGCTTATTATTCTTTTTCAGCTTCTGTTTCATTGAATTCAAAGCCTTGTGATTACTACTACTCATTTTCTTTTTTGCTTCTTTATTAGCCAAAGCTTCAGCTAAGAAATCCTCCAACATAACAAGACACTTAATATAAAGATTCGGAACTCTGTCCGACTCAGTAACACGCATAACCTTCTCCAGCTGTTTATTAATCTTATCAAAACTCTCTTGCAAGCTAACCCAGTCATTGATTTTCATTGCATTCTTCATCTGATCAACCGTACCTGCCATCTCCTCAAACCGCTTATCTTTAGCGGATCTAACCACCCGCTTTTGCCCATCAGAATCATCGCTATCACTAGCATTCCTCTCTAGATATTTGCTTCCGGGCGCATTAGCCGTGGTTTCCCCTGCTCCACCTTTCTCAATTCTGTCCTCAATATCACTCTCCTCTTCCTCAGTGTCACTACCACCCTATTGTAAATTCACAATAAGATAAAGTATCATCAGAATTGAGCAAAAATCGAACCTTCCACTAGCATGTCGTAAAGGCTACATATATTAAATTCAAACGTCCAAAAAAACAAACCTGAGTCCAGAATCGGGATGCCATTGTCTTTTTCTTTTTCCAAGTTAAATTAGTTGAAAGCTGCAAAAAAAAAAAAAATTCAAAACTAAATAAAATTAGCAATAATCAAATTTCGAATCTGTTAATCACATAGTACAATTAAGGAAAAATTATTGAAACTTCTTAATATTCACATTAAAAACAGATCTTTTTCTTGTTTTCAGTTAATTTATCAACAACAAACAAGCAATTACTGCTTTAAAATTTTTAAACGCCTATGAAACTCGGAATCGGCGACCGGTTTTAAACGGAGAAACAAGAATTACCTGGAGACAGAAGTTGCAATAACGTTTAATAAGGAAGTTGATGAGTCCGCTAGGTTTCGATGAAGCACAAAAACAAAGAATAATGTATTTATAGGGCAAACAAGTTGGGCTGGGTCTGAACTTTTAATCTAATTGGGTCGATTTAGTAATTTTTGAAACATTTGGGCCAATTTTGGATTTAATTTTTTAAAGCCCAAATTTAAAAGGCTAATTTATTCTGCGATTCAACTCATAGGCCAAGTAGCCCAATATAAAACCATTAGGTTTTATTGGTACTTACAAATTTGATAAGAGATAAAATTACTACCAATAAAAGTGAAAAAAATTTTAAAAATACTACTAATAAAGATTGTGTTTTTTATATTAGAAACTTAAGCAGATCTTATGATTAACTACTCCAATCCCAATTTAAATTCCTAATATCCATTTATTGATTAATTCAATCCAAATTCTATAACTTTTACGATAAGATTAGACAAAAATTCGTAATTAAAATTTATACTTGTTAATTTCATTACGTATATATAAATATTTATGTAGCACATAATCTTATTAGAAATAAGCTTTAGATAGCACATACATATAATCCTATTAAGAATAAAATTTTAACTCGACTCATTATATGAATTATATCATGCCTATGTAAATATAATAATGGGTTTTATAATTATGTCATGCCCATGTAAATATTTTACTATTTTAAAATTAATTTGAACGAAAATATTTTATTAATAAAATATAATTCAACAGAATCAAATTAAATTCAAACTCCAAAAAAAAAAAAAAAAAAAACTAAAATCTAATCAGTTAATTTCATTAATAATTCGATTCGCGAACAATTATAATTGTTGAACGTTACCATTTTTTTTTTTTATAAATCCCTGATTAAGTAAAGCAATGGGAAGTAAAATTTAACAATTAGTCGTATTGAAATCCAACGTTCTAAACTTGATTTTACGCTTGGAT